GCGACTCTGCTGCTTGACTGCAGATATCGATACAAAATAGAAAACCTGCTAAGCCTATCCGCTACCCAAGACATATATTCAATATTTTGAATTTCTATAAGAGTAAGTATTTTTGTTGGCATCGCACCATGCTTTGATTTTCTTAATGTTATATGTTATAAAAACCGCAAAAGTCATTTATATGCCATAAAATCGTAGTATCATCGGCAAATAGAGTGAAAGAACTTGCAATTTTAAGTTAAATAATTTATGTAAAGAAATAAAATAGAACTTAAAACAGACATCCCCCAACTTTTATCTAAAACTTGAGAGTACTTAGTAGTTCTTACCATTTGCTTACGTCGTGAAAGATAAGATTTTATCGGACTACGTCTGCGATTTCGTAAATACAAAGTTTTTGCAACAATACTATATGACACAATCAAACAACTTAATCAAATCATAGAATATCTCCGTAGGTGTAGCAGCTTCATTAAAATTAATTTTAGAGTAAGCAAGTTCAGATAAGAAAATATCGTTATAAAAAGTGGGCAGAGGAGGCGATTTAGTCCTGATAATTGATATAGGCAACTCATAAAGCATGTGTATAATTTTCCAAAAACTCGGTAATGCGCATGCGTTGTAGTGCCGCTAAATATCGCATAGCTGTACCATTTTTACTTTCCTATCTGTATTCAGATATAAGGAAAGTATAGGAATCATGATTTTTTCGACCTCGAGTTTTCGACGGATTTTTACGTTTTGAGGTCCCCTGAATCCATGTTGACTATTTTGTGATGTGATGTGATGTGATGTGATGTGATGTGATGTGATGTGATGTGATGTGATGTGATGTGATGTGATGTGATGTGATGTGATGTGATGTGATGTGATGTGATGTGATGTGATGTGATGTGTGTGTGTGTGTGTGTGTGTGTGTGTGTGTGTGTGTGTGTGTGTGTGTGTGTGTGTGTGTGTGTGTGTGTGTGTGTGTGTGTGTGTGTGTGTGTGTGTGCGTGTGTGTATGTGTGTGCGTGTGTGTGTGTGTGCGTGTGTGTGTGTGTGTATGTGTGTGTGTGCGTGTGTGTGTGTATGTGTGTGTGTGTGTGTGTGTGTGCGTGTGTGTGTGTGTGTGTGGGTGTGCGTGTGTTGCATAACTCATGAACCGATACACAGAAAAACACCAAACTTAAGCTTCGTTCCAGTGTCTAATGAACTGATTAGATTTTGGGCAAAGTCGGAACATCCTGGGGGGTACTTTATAGGTGGTAATTTTTATATTTTATGGAATATATCTGTTATTTACATTTGGAGAAGAAAATTCTTCAAATAAAAGTTACTTCTAATAGTATTATCTATAATTTTTGTTCTATACAAAATTTTCTTAAAATGGTCCGTATTCGAGAAATTTGATAAAATGTAAAAACATATTTTTTTATAAAAATTGTTCAAATAAAAGTTGTTTATAATATAATTCTCTATAATTTTTATTATATACATACATAGTTTCTCTAAAATGGAGATATTTGAGAAAATGTGTAAATTTCGAATTTTGAAGAAAACTCAAAAACGGATAAAGAAAAAAACATTAAATTTTAAACATAAGTTTTATTTCGGCATGACGTAAAATGATAAGATTTTGGACAAAGTCGGAACATCTAAGGGGGGGGTACTTTATGGGAGGCCGCTTTTATATTTTATGGAATATATTTGTTATTTATGTTTGGAGGAGAAAATTCTTTAAATAAAAGTTACTCCTAATATTATGATCTATAATTTTTGTTTTATGCCAAATTTTCCTGAAATGGTCCGTATTCGATTCTGATTTTTAAGAAAATTGTTGAACTAAAAGTTGTTTGCGATATCGAGCTTTATAATTTTTGTTTAAACATAATTTTTTCTAAAATGGACCGTAATGGAAAAATTGTAGGAAAAGTGCTTTATTAAAATTTTTCAGTATTCTCGTTTTCAATGAATATCTATGGAAAAATGTTTCGATGTAGATGTATGTGGAAAAATGTATATATTTAGTTTATCCTCTAAACATTTATAGAGGTGTTGCAATAGGTTGAACAAAATAACCTGAAAAAGCATATAATAACTAGATAGGAAAGTCATGTGTTGGACACATCAGATTTTTTATTAGGTCGGCAGGATCATGCAACGTTCCACTACTGGTGAGAAGTTCAGTGATTTTTGGGAAATGAACGCATCGGTAAAGGAGCATTTTTTATAGAAATGTAGACATGTGACACCCTATTTTCAACCCTCTCATGTATTCTATGAATATCCCTATTAAGCAATGCAGCTAACCTTAATGCATCGAAAATGATATAAATTATTTATCGAGGCATAAAAATGTAATTTTTTAGCCCTGATGTACAGATAGTTTTACTCAAATTACGTGCTTTTAAAACAATTCTGCACTTAGAAAATAAATAAAATATATTTTTCTGTCAGTAAAAAACTATAATATAATAAAAATATTACAAGTAGGTACGTTTTAAGAATAGATTGACATAGAAATTCATGAGTTAACGAACTGTTAAAATGTAATTTCAACACCTATTATATTCTTATAAGTTGAAGTATTTACGTAGTTATACAAGTAGTTACCTACGTTGACGATTTTGAGGTCATAACTAAACCCCCTTTTTTATTTAAAGAATGGTGTAGGTACTAGTTTAAGTGAAAATATTCACGACACTTTCATGAAGGCTCTTTAAAATAACCATATCATGTATTGTTTATATTGTGTAAACGTAGTTTCTCTCAAATTCATACAATGAAACTGCTTTCCATTGTCTATTACACAATTACGCAACAACTCAATTTCTAAACAAATTAAGAAACATGAGATTTATTAAAAGATCTATTAAAAAAACAGCAATGTAATTATTATTATTAATTTTAATAATTAATTAATACGTGATTGAGTTCGAGGACGAATAAAATGCATATGTAGATGATAAAAATGATCATTTATTTATGCAACATTATAATATTCTTAATGGATCAATAATTTACCATCACAAAAAGCAATGGATTGCAAATGCAGAAAATATTGTAAGTATGTACTTACAATTTGTAAGTAGGAGTAAAGAAACCGGTGGAGAAGCACAGAAGCATGAAGAAGGAAAAAGTACTAATAAGAAAATAGATATATGTCAGATTGAAACCACAAGATAGAGAATATACATCTTTCTAAAACAGTATTCTTAATTTCTACAGCACGTAGTACTAAACCATAGATATATAACCAAGACAGATATGATTATTTACAAAATTTCTGTAGCCAACGCGGATGACCCTCGGCAGAAATGCAAAATTTCATACCAAATTTGCGAAACTTCTCCATAACCCCTCGTAACACAATTTAAACGACAACCGCTCGCTTCCTTCTCGAGATTTGCAAAGATAGATAGGGTCGGTCTTTTCACCTTCAGATAAACTTCTAGATAACTAACTGACGGATATATTATCTGAGAGTTACCATCTGTTAGATAATTAATTTTCTGTCTTTTTAAGTAAATAATATGCAGGGTAGGTAACCAGTAGTTTTTAACCTTATGTGATTAGGTAACTACCTGTTTATACATCAGTGCAGTATTTTATCAAGAATTCCATTAGTAAGATAAGTTATCTTTTAGAAGTTAGGTTTATCCAGAAGTGAAAAGATTACTTTTTGAGATACTTGGGAGATAAACATTACCTGAAACTTTATCTGAAGGTGAAAAGACCGCCCCTAAAACCGACTCGTGTTGATTCAACCGGCTTTTTGGTTTATTGAGTTCAATGTGGTAGTGTGTGTCGATAAATAAGCTACTATATGAGTAATTATCTTGTCTTTTATATGTGCTTATTGTGTGTTAACGTTGGGATAATTGTCAGTGGCTCTAAGAAGCCCCAAGAAACTCCAAGCTTTAAGCTCCAAGTCCAAGTTTTAAGCTCTAAGAAACTCCAAGCCAGTGGTGGCTCGTGGGATGGTTCACAGTGACAGAATATAGGTATCAGTACAGATGTATGAAAAAACTTTCAGTGTTTTAGAAAGTTTATAATATACCTTTTTAAAACACTGAGTTTTTTACCTATATCTGTACCGGGATCTATATTCTGCTACTGTGAACCCCCAAAATTTTGGTCACGAGCCGCCCCTGCTCCAAGCTTTAAAGACCAAGCTTTAAGCTCTAAGAAACTCCAAGTTACGTAGTTTCTCCAAGAAACTCAGAATTACTTAGTTTCTCCAAGATCCGAGTTCCAAGTGCTAGCTCCAAGCTCCAAGTATAAGTTCCAAGTTCCAGGTTATGTAGCTTCTCCAAACAAGCTCCAAGTTGCTAAGTAAAGGCGGATTGTCCACGACATACGACAGGCAAGTACCGCTATTAGAATGCCATATGGTCGGGACAATTAAACATATTAAACATCGATTCAATTTCATTCAATTCATTTTTTTAAGTCAATTTTATTCATTCATTTTTTCAAATTTAATTATTAAGTATTAATTTATTGTATAAATTCATTCTTTTTATTTTTTTTTTAGTAAATGTATCAAATTTTCTCACATTCCTTTATTTGCCAGAACTCATAATATATATAACTTAAGTACCAGAGACTGACTCAATTAAACAGGGCACTCAACATTTTTGTCGTTATCGTATTATAGTATCTTTCATTTTATCGTAAAGTAGACTTTGGCCCGCGAACAGGTCAAGCTACTCTGATTTCATTTGTCCTGGTCAGTTTATGAATCCACGCATTACCAGCAATTTGAGCTAAATCACTTCTTAAGTACAATTTACATCGTAGAAATCAAAAAGAAGGTAACAAGCCCTCTTCCAAGCTGCATACCTATTAAAAGTTATTCTAAAAGAAAAAACATAAAACTATATAGTTTTCGGTTCTGGGTGCCCCAAAAGAGGACACTTAGCCGACAATTTATCTCAGATAGCTACCCAACAGTCGCACCCCAAACCAGTACGTATTGCTATCCTTTTAAGTAAAAAGTTACTAGTCATACTTACCCGAAAAATGGAGGCGTCTGACTTTTACACCACAAAACCATACGCTTTTCCCCATTGTTGCAAGAACCCGATGATGACTAAGTACCTAGATATCAACCAGAAACGAAAATAAATCAAACTTCATAATGATAGACGTAAAATAAAATTAGTAAACTCAAATCCAATATCACATAATTACGAGCGATCGTTTCCCTTCAGAAAACAACTACTCCTTTGGCTAATACCGCAACAGGTATTAAATTATATCCAAAGGAAAAACAGGAGAGTTAGAAATTAAATTTCAACACTCTACCTTTGATTTTGTTCACTAAGGAGAACATCATTCTTGGACCGGTTTCGTCCTTATTAGGACTCTTCAGCAAGAAATAGATAGGTTCTCAATTAATGGAATTCTTGCTGAAGAGTCCCAATGAGGACGAAACCGGTCTGTGTCCTATGCGTACACTTTAATATACAAAACACCTGGAACATTTTTTAAATGGTTGTGGTCGTGGGAAAAATTGTGTACATAACTCGTTGGAAAGTGTATTTTATGCACTTGCCAAATATATTATCCATACTCACAGATTAATCGGACTATTTTTTTCATTTTTTTACTTTTAACTCCAGTATACCTCTTACTACTAGAACTCAGTGGCGGCTCGTGGGCACTAGCGGCAGTGGGGCACACACTGGAAAGGAATTTCGGGATTCGTTTTTCCCTTAGGAAAACAAATTCTCCGCTTAATGAAAATTAAAAATATATTTCAAAACAATCAGTTGGGGCAATAACGATTTCTGAATGTGACTACAGGGAACTAAATGTGACCACTCAAAATGCATTTAACTATGTATGTGGCTATTTAATCAAAAAATCATTACATATCCACTCTTGCGAAATTTGCGTAAATTTCTCAGAAGAATGCAATTTACTTAACAATTCTAACTTGTTAACGCATTTTAAAGCATACGACTCTGAAGAAAAGGTGTTTGGCAATTTAAAATCTCCCAGCGAAAAATTTCTCTTTTATATTGTCAAATTAGAAAAAATGTTTATATATCTCTATTTGCTAGTTTGTCAACTAAGCCTGGAATTTCCAACGCATTCCTTTTTGAGATGAGCAAAATAGAATTTGGTCATCCTTACCAACAATTTGCGAAAATGTACACCATTAAATTATTTATAAGACTCAGAATTTTTTATACTCTTAAATATGCAAACAGAGATTTGAAATCCTCGAAAAAGTCAAACAAAACCAAAAGAAAAATTAAAATTTTGTCCCATTTATAAATATTATTGATTTTTTTCATCATATTTTTGACTGCTTCATAAAAAAAAGTTATTTTTCTTTGTAGTTTTATTTCTTAACTATTCCAATGGTCCAACTAACGTTTTTTTCGTAATCACAATAAATAAATTATTATCATGGTTCAACAAACTCGCACCTTAAGACGAAACCGGCATCGCCTTTGTGAGGGAGCCGGTAAGATGCCGCTGCGTACATTCGTATCTGGTCTAGGTAATCTGTGCCATGGGTACAGCACGTCACGATTGGGACAGCGCCCTGCTTGTGACGTATAATGAATCGCATGTGTTCATCTCTTGCTAAGCGATATTGTCGTTGTCCTTGTTTTTTGCATCATAATGAGAAATAAAACAACAGAGACATTTACTGTGCCTATGTATCACTTAATTTTGGAATTATCGGAACGTCGCTCAACGCCCGGTCGTCCACTGTCGTGCCAACGCGGTTTGCACTGAATATTAGATAAAATAATAATAGGCATTGAGGAAAATATAAAATATGTTAGTTATTTTTTTTTTTTTTTTGTATATTATACTAGGACACGTGCCCAAGTTCCCTTACGGGCAAACCGCCACTGCAAGAACTATTTTTATCACTGAAAAAAAGGGGCTGTGTTTTCGTGTGTTCTGATGCATTTTCGGCCTCAACCCATCGGACCCCCTCTTTTAATAAAAATAAATATAATTTTGCTTAGAATTGCTAACCCTACAATTTTCTATCCATGTTTGCTGACTGGGAAAATAAATACAGAAAATTGTCACTGTCTCCTAGACTATACTGTTAGTAGATAATCATGATGATGAGGCGCTGTCAGAAAGATAATCGGTCCTCTCACAACAAATACACTTTTATCAATGGCTAGTTAGGATCTGTACTAAACATTAGTAAAAAAAACGTTCTCTTTTCGAGATAGGTATAAGGTATCAAATATTTTTCATTATTTCCTATTTGTTGCTATGGTCTGTAGGCATTACCTTCATCTCATCTCATTTTTTGTCTCTTTATGATTTGTTCTGCAGGGCTCTAATTATGTTGTTTTAAAATCTGATAGAACAGCGAAGCAAAAACTAGTATCTAAATTATTATATGTACAAGAAACACATGGACATTTTTATTTTACTTATGACAACGTAATAAATAATAATGTCGCAACTTATGTATCTTGTGAATAACAATAGCAATTCAACAAACCGATTTAAAAGATACGTATAATGTATGCAAACGATCCACTGAAGAAACTAATATTTTATTTACAATGCCACTCATGGATACGGTGACACTTCATGTATGTAGATTTTTCTTGTTTGCATTTCATAAAATGTAAAGATATGTTAGCAGAAAAAGTACTATTTCAAGGTTGTTCTTAATTGATTGCTAGAATCAATATATAACAATTACACATTATAATGATTAATTATTAATAAACTGTGCGCTAAGTGTTGATAATTTTGAAACTCAATGTGCAAAAATATTTTTGCCGGGATTTTTTTATTTAATTTAAACTCCCCAATCGACCATTCACTGTTGGGTTCTAATTAACAGTGCTGTTCCTAAAGCGGCGCTGGGAAACCGTTATAAAGCCTACACAGACTACGAGGCTAAAGGCCTTAATAGTCGATGCCGATGACACCAAAGTAAAAAAAATTAAATACGACGATGGTATTGATGTAGAAAAAATAAGCATTTGGTTTGTTCCAACAGGTCATCTGATCATCAGAATATCAGATAGAGACGTTGCTACAATAAATTATTGGGGGGAAAGACAAAATATAAAATTTTCCAACAATTTTGACTAAATTTCCCAACTTATCGGAGGATGTATGGTTGGAATACCCCTACCCCGCCTCGTAGAAAGAGGGACTCGGATAGCCTTCCGGAAGTAATAAAATTGTAATGTTTTCATGCTAACTCTATTTGAGAATAAGTTTGTAATTTTTTAGAAATCTTTCAATTTGTTCCTCTAATTAATGAGTTTAAAAAAGGAAAGAATAAAACACCATGTTATTGTAAAGAGTTCTTTATGTTGCAATAAAATATGTTATAGCATTTCATTTACTTTTGGAATACCTTAGTTCGGTGTAATGTCATTTTGGTTCCACTGCATTTAATTCTAACCAAACGTTTAACAAAAACCTCAATAAATTTGACATATACGTTTTTACTGTTTTTAGTTTATTTTTAAATATTGCTTACAGATCATAAAAAATAGTTTAAAGGTATGTAATTTTTAACTAAACGATTTTATATTTGATGCATGTTATCTACTTACTTTAGGAATAAATTTATAAAAGTGAAAAAAATGATATAATTTAGGTAAACAAAACGAACAAAACGCACTCAAAAAATCTACTGTCACTTTAATTGTCAGTGGAACCATAATTACATCATCACTGAACTAGCGTATTAAAATGGGAGGGTTTCCAGGGATTGCATAAGAATAACAAAGAAAAAAATTAAAACAAAGTAAGAATGACTGAGATATACAGGGTGGGCCACTTAAAAGTTCCACCCCCCTTATCTTCGTTATTTATTGAGATATCAAAATAAGTTTTTTTTGTTGGAAAGACTGTAACAAATACTTTCTTAGCATTCGTTTAATTATTCTGTGATGTCTTGGCTTACTTCCGGTTTTTCCAGAAATAACAGAAAATCGCAATTTATTTTTTATTTTTAAATTAAAACCCACTTTTTTTATTCTAAATTTGAATTTCTGGGACATTTTTGTGTAATAATCGTGGATTAAAAATTTTGTGGCAGCTGTCAAAATGGCCGCCATATTGGAAAATATTGTTTCTAAGCATGTTACTATTAATTCATTTATGGAAAAAAATATAGAACTGTATGATCTTTATAAAATCTTTGTAAGCTTTAACATTATCATTGAGACCCATTTACCGTATACCAGTGGCGTACCTAAGCATTTTTATTATTAGCAAACTGTTTAATAATTCCATCCGCCTTTATCTTCGTTGTTAATTGAGATATCGGAATGAGAACTTTTTTATTTAAAAGCTTATAACAAATACTTTCATTAACTGGATCCAATTGGTCTATGACGTCATGGCTTACTTCCGATTTTTCCGGATATAACTGAAAATCGCATTTTATTTTTAATTTTAAAATGAAAACCCCTTTTTTATTGACAATTTGAATTTCTGGGACGTTTTCCGACAAGAAGTGTGTGTTAAAATTGTTCTGTCAGCTGTCAAAATGACCGTCATATTGGTTAATATATTTTTTAATATGTTATTGTAAATTCGTTTATGGAAAAAATATGGAAATGTATAAAATCTTTGTGAGCTACACAGTTCTTATTAAGGCCCATGCATAGTATACCAGTGGCGTATCTAAGATTTTTGTTACATATTAGCAAACCGTTTAATGATTCCACCCGCTCTTATCTTCCTTATTAATTGAGATATCGAAATGAAATTTTTTTTGTTTGAAAGCTTGAAATAAATATTGTCAAATAATTAATTTAACTGGTCTGTGATAGATGTCATGTCTTATTTCCGGTTTTTCGAAAATAACAGTAAATCGCAATTAATTTTTTATTTTTAAATGGAAACCCACTTTTTTATTGAAAATTTATATTTCTTGAGCATATCTGTCATCGAACTGAATTTATACGATTTCAGCGCTTGTAACCACTACATCAGTCAACTACCTACTGATAAATAAAATAACAAAAATAGTTATTTATGCTTATAATAAGTGCATAAAGTGGCCTTCAAAAAAGCCTTAACATACGAATCGCATACGATATTTCTACTACCGTACATATTGCCCACTAAGATTA